AAAAAAAAAAAAAAAAAAAAAAAGCTGAAGGCATCACACTACCTGATTTGAAAATGTGCTGTGAAGGTATATAACCAAATCAGCATGGTAATGGCATAAAAACAGACACACAATACAGAACCCAGATATAATTCCACACATTTACAGCCAGCTCATTTTCAACAAAGGCGCCAAGAACATGAAACGGGGAACAGTCTCTTCAGTAAAGGGTGCTGGGAAAACTGGATAACCACATGCAGAAGAATGAAACTAGACCCCTATCTCTCACCATATGCAAAATAAAATCAAAATGGATTAAAACCTTAACTCTAAGACCTGAAACTGAAAACTCTAGAAGAAAACATTGGAAAAATGCTCTAGGACATTGGTCTTGGCAAATATTTGAGTGAAGAAGCACAGGCGACAATAGGAAAAATAGACAAATGGGATGACATCAAGCTAAAATGCTACTGTGCAGCAAGGAAATGACAAAGTGAAGCGACAACCCACAAAATAGGAAAAAATATATTTGCAAACTATCCAACAGAGAAGGGATTCATAACAAGAATGTATAAGGACAACTCAATAGCTAACAATTCAGTAGCAAAAAAAAATTATAAATGAGCAAAAGATATGAACAGATATTTCTCAAAAGAAGACATACAAATTGACCACAGGTATATTTTTAAAATGTTCAACATCTCTAATCATCAGAAAAATGCAACTCAAAACCGCAATGAAATGTCATTCCACCTCAATTAAAATGGCGTTTGACATGGTTTGGCTCTGTATCCCCATTCAAATCTCATCTCTAATTGTAATCCCCACACGTCAAGGGAGAGACCTGGTGAGAGGTGATTGGATCATGGAGTGGTTTTTCCCATGCTGTTCTTGTGATAGGGATTTCTCGTGAGATCTGATGGTTTAAAAGTGGCACTTCCCCCTTTTTCTCTCCCTCTCCCTCTCCCTCTCCCTCTCTCTCTCCTGCCACCATGTAAGACATGCCTTGCTTCCCCTTCTCTTTCTGCCATGATTGTAATTTTCCTGAGGCCTCTCCCACTATGTAGAACTGTGAGTCATTTAAACCTCTTTTGTTCGTAAGTTATCCAGTCTCAAGTAGTATCTTTATAGCAATGTGAGAGCAGACTAATACAGCTTTTAATTAAGAATGGAGAATAGTGGATGTTAGCAAGGATGTGGAGAAAGTGAAGCTCATGTACACTATTGGTGAGAATGTAAATTAGTACACTCACTATGGGAAACTGAAAATTCCTCAAAAAACTAAAAGCAGAACAACAATAGATTCATCCAGCAATCTCACTACTGTATATACTGTATATCCAAAAGAAAGAAAATCAATATGTGGAAGAGATGTCTGCACTTCCATGTTTATGTGACACTGTTTACAATGTTGTGGCCAAAATATGAAATCAAACTAAGTGCTCATTAATGGACAAATAGATTTAAAAAGTGGGATATATACACAACGGATTGGAGATGGATACCCCATTCTCCATGATGTGATTATTATGCATTACCTGTATTATGCCTGTATTAAAACATTTCATGTACCCCATAAATATACATACCTACTATGTACCCATATTGAAAATAAAAAATTTTTAAAAAGAAAATATGGTACGTATACATATACCATGGAATACTACACAGCCGTAAAAAGGAATGAAATAATGGCATTCACAGCAACCTGGATGGAGTTGGAAATAATTATTCTAAGTGAAGTAGTTCAGGAATGGAAAACCAAACATCATATGTTCTCACAGGTAAGTAAGAGCTAAGCTATTAGTAAGTAAAGACATATAAAGACTTAAGAATCATACAACGGGAGGAGGGGTGGGGGTGAGGGATAAAATACTACACGTTGGTTACAGTGTACACTGCTCTGGTGATGGGGGCACCAAAATCTCAAAAATCACCACTAAAGAACTTGTCCATGTAACCAAGCACCAATTGTCCCCCCAAAAACCTATTGAAATTTGCTTAGGACAAGCGAATAGAGATCTGAAGAGAAACTTTTCCAAATAAAATATACAAATGGCCAGTAAGCATATGAAAAGATGCTCATCCTCATTAGTCATGAGGAAAATGCAAATCAAAACCACAATGAGATGCCACCTTACATCCGCTAGGATGAGAGCAAACAAAAGGTAAGAGAGGAAGTGTTGGGAAAGATCGGGAGAAATCAGCACTCCCTCACGCGGGTGGTAAGAACGCAAAACGGTGCAGCGCTTTTGGAAAAGCCTAGTCATTCTTCAAACAGTTAAACACGGAGCTATCATATGACCCAGAAATTCCAATTTTAAGCATACACTCGACAAATGAAAGCATATGTCCCCACAAAATCTTGTACACAAATGTTTATACCAGCATTATTCAAATTAGCCAACAGACACAAACAAGTGTCTGTCAACTAATGAATGGCCAAGCAAAATATGGTAGCGGCTGAGTATCCCTTATCTGAAATGCTGGAGACCAGAGTGTTTGGATTTCAGGGTTTTTTTAATACTTGTATTATACTTACAGGTAGAATATCCTAAATCTAAAATCTGAAATACTTCAATGAACATTTCCTTTGAGCATCATGTCAGCACTCGAAAAGTTTTGGATCTTGGAACATTTCAAATTTTGGGCTTTCTGATTTGAGATGCTCAACCTGTATATCCATACAATGGACTATTAGTTTTACACAAAAAGAAATGAAGTATTAATACACACTACAACGTGGATGAATCTTGAAAACATTATACTAAACGGAAGAAGTCAGACACAAGAGACCAGTATTATATAATTCCCATTTATATGAAATGTCCAAAATAGTCAAAGCTATCAAGACGGAAAGTAAATTAGTGGTTGCTTCAGGATAGGGGAGACGAGGGCTGGTAGCTGAAGGCTAAGGGGTTTATTTTCGAGGCGATAAAAATGTTCTAAAGTTATGGTGACGGTTGTACATGTCTATGCATATACTACAATCATTGATTGTACACTTCATATGGGTGAATTGCATCTTAATTATATCACAATAAAGCTATTAAAAATAAGATGAGTCATTTCTACATACCTGTACCCCCACATGCCACTTCGGCTGCTAATGTAACATACTTGTGAAATCTAGTCAGGATCTATCTAACCTAATACAACTTAGTTCCACCACATCCTAATTTACATGATAATGTTTCAATAACCACCTAGTGATGGGTTGATTAAAGCAAGAATTTTCTGGAACACAAAAAGGGCAAATTACAATCCTGAAATGCTAGAGAGATAAATCACCAAGAAGGAAAGAGCAATTCATTTCCTATTTTATAAACATATCAACATAAAATAAAGAAGCCATGGAACTGGAGATTAGTCCCTGTCACATTTACCTGGGAAAATGTTGAGTCTGATGTGAGTCCACCTCTGCTGGGAATTGGCAAGAAAATAGTTGTGGCCGGAAGCAGGGTTTCCTGGCTTAAGCTCTGTCATGGGAACCAAGTAACTCCAGTCATCAGATTTTAGCTAGAAATAAATATAGAAAGATCAGCAACTGCTCTTGAAAACAATAAATTCTGTCATCCTGTTGCCTCTGTGGGACTTAAGGGGCAGAGATACTTTGAAAAAAAAAATTAATGATGGATACCTAATGAAACACTTTAATAAAAACAGCACATATCAAGCCCATGTTTAATAATAAACAGAATAGAAGCCTATTTTGTTTTCACACTGATCAAAATAGCCAGTTGGTGATGGTGGCAGAGGCTTGCAAATGAAGGACAAGATCTCAGACCCCTCCTAATGTCTTCACCTTGAGGAGCAGTGACATGAACATTCAAATAAAAACCAGGGCTATTGCCATGCACCCTGACATCTGGGGAAATCTGTTGGCCTGAACCTTGCGATAATTTTCTCTAGGTCAGCACTTCTCAAATCAGAGGCCCTGTTTACTGTTACTGTTATTTACTTTCCTGTCTGTTATGGATCAACATTTCTGTAAAAAACAATACAAATTAATTATTAAATAAACTTAAAAAAAAAAAAAAAAATAGAATGTTCCAAAATGCAAGCCCTGTTTTTTCCCAACTGTTTTATTAAAGTCATCGCACACAAAAGTTACTTCATCAAGTTGCTGTAAGAACTGTTTAAACACTTATTGTGTTTCCATATGTGTGCTCATCGGGGCCAGCAGCCATTTGCGGGTGGCTGCTGGTGGGACTCTGAGAAGCAGGGCTCCACGTCCCTAATGGGCCATGATGCTTACTCTTCCCAGGTTGAATGAACCACTGAGATTTTGTAAGACCACAGCGGGTAAGCAAATGATGTGGGGAGCCCCAGGGTGGGGTGTCGCCTTGCACAGCCAGGTGTACAGAGCAGTTTCCCTACTGTCCTAACAGCTGGTGACAAGACCCAATTCCTTTGGGTGGGAGGTACCTCAGCAATGGCTTCAAACTCCTCGGGTGTGGCCGCGGCTCCGGTCCTGATTCCTCTTTCTGGAATTTCTGGTAGTTTATCTATAGTCGGATTGACCATTCAGGATTAAGATTAGAGTTCAAAATCAAAGAGAATCTACTCTCTTCGTGGGTTGTATGGTAATTCTCACTTTGCAAATAACACTGAAGATATTTCGAAGTATCGAATGATCAAAGTAATAGACACACTTGTTGAAGTTCCTCAATATTTGATATAGTAACACAGTCATTTCAAAAAGCAGTGCAATATGTTTGATACTACATTTGCTTGTCAAATAGTAAATGTCATCTCCAAGTTAGCTCAAACTTCAACAAGTTTATCACATCACTAGAGTTTTCAAAGTTGGACTATTACAAAGGCAATTCCAGAAACACCAACTCTCCCAGTGCCTCCTTAGAATTCATAATTGGGCAATTCAGAAATAGAAGCACTCATGGACAATTGAGGGGCTTGCCAAAACAGCCTTATTCGTTTGTCATTGGTCATTTTTTGCTTTTAGAGTAACATCTCATAGCATCACTTACCTTTCAGGTGCCCCAGCCATTTTCGGGGATCAGCACCGGGGATCATGTCCACAGAACCTCTTGCCCTACTGTGCACGTTGCACGTTCAGTGTAAACTTGCCAACCAACATTGACTTAACTTCCCTAAGTACGTGTATAAACACACACATAGCTGTTCATGTTTTTTAAAAAATTAATGCTAAAGTCAACATCAGATATCTATTAAAGGAATAAAAATACAGGTCTGTGGAGACAAAGTGACTCCATCTTGGACGTGACCTGCCATGTTGATGTCTGATTAATGTCTGATGTCAATCCTATCCATATGATTCCAACTTCATTTACTGTCCTTAGTCCGGAACATGTGGACTTTGATGTTATCGCGCAAGTCAGAGGCTATGCCGCACACAGCACTCTTCCCCATCCTGGAGGCTGCCTTCATTTGTCCTGCTAGAGCACACAGACACTTTCCCTAGAGCATGTGAGCCCTGGATCTGGGGAGTAACAGTGCACAGACCTAGCCATCTCACGCTTCTGTCTGTAAGTCCCCCCAATAAAACACCTGTTACCAACAAACCGGATTTGTCGGCCTCTTTCTTTGGTTTCTTGGCTTCTTTGGCACCTGAGGTCTGCACTGTGCATATGGCCTTTTCACAGAATAGTTCTTATTTATAGAGCCTGTGGGATTCATATGCCCAGCAATCCAAGATGCAGATAGGAACCCTTATGAAAAATGCCATAGCAGCTGCCCCATCACATGCACCGGGACAGCCCAAAGCAAGGCTGGTGCTGCTCACCCACAGCCATCCCAGACATGGCTCCACATCAGCCAGGTCGTCTGAGGCACAACCCACTCCCTTCTGCCCACCCAGCAACCTGCTCACCCACGTTCCAGGGATAATAGCCTGCCTCTGTGTGAGGCCTAAGGACCGTGGGAATGACAAAATCTATATCCGGCCAAAGAACGCTGTTAAGCCACAAATCAGAAACCACAGAGCCCTCTATTAGGAGTCCCAGTCCTACCGCCCTGTTATGGAAGTGTCATGGTCAGTTCCTGAAGCTGTCTGGGTCATATCAAAAGTGAGCAGTTGTTGAGGTGTGGCTGGCCAGAGGAACCATGTGACTCCATAATTCTCATTTGGGGGACAGTGGTTCCTACATCACCTTCTTCCAAGTTTGCTGCTTGAATTGACATCCGAGGAGCGTAATCTCCCATGAAGTAAGAAACGTCCACGTCGAAGCCCCGGATGACTCCTTGGATCCCCAGCCTGAGGACGCACCAGTCGTGACCTGCGCAATGCAGAGGACAGAGCAGCCTCATTAGGGCCGATGCAGCAGATGCCGCACATGAGGCGGCGCACCCCACACGCACCTGGCCCACAGCAGGGACCACTTCTGTCCATCACAGGGAAACCTGCTAGGGTAGTTCTTAGCGAATATGACTGCAGGATCTCTCATAACCTGGCCACATGTGACCACCATTCCCCAACAGAAATCCTCAGTTCAAGCCAGACCAGAAAATGCGTAGGCCTGGGATTCAGGAAGACCTGATTCTGGTTCCAAATGGATCATTTCCTATGACTGTCCTTGGCAAATTTACCTCTTAGAGTTGAGAATCTCATTTTCTCAAGACAACTGTAAATTAGAGTTGCCATTAACTTCCATAAAGCTTAGATTACGTGGTGTGATGTAGAAAGCACCTCGCCAAGCTCAGCAGGTAGTAAGCAGGGCTGGTTCTCCTGCAGACACTGTGTTCGTTGTCATCTCAAGCTCAGGAATTGCCACAGTGCCCTCCAGCCCCCAGCCCCCCATGGGCCAGACACCCTGCCTGCATCTACCAAAGCCTTCTGAGTCTTGGAGTCAGGTCTGCCACTAAGGAGTTCTTGGTTTTTTGCTGCCAGATATAAAACCATCTTAAAATGTCCACATTGATTAGAAATTAATACTACCTCAAGTACTGTAGAAAGTTAGAAACAAACAAACACATTCAAAAGTGGGTGAAGAATATGAACAGACACTTCTCAAAAGAAGACATATATGAGGCCAACAAACATGAAAAAATGTTCATCATCACTGGTCATTAGAGAAATGCAAATCAAAACCACATTGAGATATCACCTCATGCCAGTTAGAATGGTGATCATTAAAAAATCTAGAGACAACAGATGCTGGAGAGGATGTGGAGAAATAGGCACACTTTTACACTGTTGGTGGGAGTGTAAATTAGTTCAACCATTGTGGAAGATAGTGTGGCAATTCCTCAAGGATCTAGAAATAGAAATTCCATTTGACCCAGCAATCCCATTACTGAGTATATATCCAAAGGATTATAAATCGTTCTACTATAAAGACACACACAGACGTATGTTTATTGTGGCACTGTATACAATATCAAAGACCTGGAACCAACCCAAATGCCCATGAATGATAGACTGGATAAAGAAAATGTTGCACATAGACACCATGAAACACTATGCAGCCATAAAAAAAGATGAATTCATGTCCTTTGTAGGGACATGGATGAACCTGGAAACCATCATACTCAGCAAACTGACACAGAACAGAAAACCAAACACCACATGTTCTCACTCATAGGAGGGTGTTGAACAATGAGAACACGTGGACTCAGGGAGAGGAACATCACACACTGGGGGCAGTGGAGGGGCACTAGGGGAGGGACAGTGGGGGGTGGGGAGGGATAACATGGGGAGGAATGCCAGATATAGATGAAGGGGGGATGGAGGCAGCAAACCACCTGGTTGTGTATGTACCTATGCAACACCTTGCATGATCTGTACATGTACCCCAGAACCTAAAGTACAATTAAAAAGAGAGAGAGAAAAAAAACAGAAAGTTAGAAAACTAGAATTATCGAAAATTTCTGTAATATTTGACATACTAGCAAGTAAAAACTCAATTATCAGCCTAATGCCTGGATTTGTTTGCTTTTCTTCACATTCGAAAGGTATATTTTGATTGAGACTGAGAGTAGCAATGAATAAAAATCACGTCTCACAGTAAAGTAAAAGGCAGCAGGTACAGCAGTGAAGGACAGACCCTGGCCCAGCTCCCAGCTTATCTTCCTAACAGTGTGCCCTGGGCTGAGTCCAGGAATCTGTTTCCACGGCAGTTAAATGGGATTAAGGAGACCTACTCTGGAGGGCGGTGGTGAGGACCCGGGAGATGCATGCGGACTGAGGTCTGTCTGCCACGTTGCTCAGTTAAAATCCTCTCTTCTTTCCATCTGCAGACCTCACCAGCATTTTCATTTTCCCAACAAAGTGCTTCTCACCCTTTGTGCCTGGTGGGACTTGAGTGACCCAGGCTCGCGCCACCCCTTCCTGACTTACAGACTGCTGTTCAGATAGGGACATCCAAGATTACAGAGCACTCCAAGGGCCCCAAGTTAAAGCTGACCCGAAACGGACGCTGGCTTTGCAACAGCCCGTTTTTAACTTTGCAGTGTTGGATGCACTGCAATGAATGAGCCACTGTTATTACCTGGAATCCTTTTCCTCCTGGTCTCCCAGCCATCCATCCATTTCCCAAACTCAGTATATTCATGCTCTTTATAGCACGGGCTGTCACTCTAGGGCAAAAACACACAAGTTGATAATTAACATTCACGTGCTCTCCTGGTTTCCAGCATGTGCACTTCTGTCCCACAGGGCCAGAGGAATGGTGCATGCACGGGTCTAGGGGAGCCTCTGCCACCACCTTCATGTCCAGCTAGCCCCTTCCAGATGGAGGGATGCCTCTGCTTTTATCATCTTCAGAGAAAGAAATGTTACTTCTTTGTGGACCTCAGCACACAAAACTGACCACTGATAGCAGCAGGTACAACCACATCACCAGGCACTCTGTGGGCCCCACAAATGCAATTTCCAACAGCAACCTACATGGTATTAAAGTGAGAGAGGCTGGTCAGATTTCCAAGCAGGCCAGGTAGACTATTCAATAAGGAATTCCTCCAAAGTCATCAGAAGAGCAGGCTGGACGCTCAGGGTCCAGGTGAACACACACAGCACACTCTGCAAGCCATGAGGAAATGCATAAGCTCTGACGCCCCACAAAGCCTCCTTAGACCGCTGAGCGCCCTTCTTCACCTTCCAGAATGAGGAGAAAGAATAAACACATCCTTGCAGGAGTGTCCTGAAGTTGAATAACCAACATGAAAGACCCTTGAATGGTGTGGATGCTCAGAAGCTTTCGCACTTGGCGGGTGGCCCAGCGTGAGGATACGTTTCCTGTTTCCATCAAGTCGTGCAAAGAGGATCTTATGCTCCTGCTTAAGGAGCTCCCCAAGCAGGAGCAGAGGCAGGGACTAGAGGTAGCCAGGCCCGGGGTGGAGGGGTCCTCTGATGGGAGCTGCTGCATGTGACGCTTCCCAGGGACCCCGCCAGATCCCAGGTGTGCCACCCAGCCCAGCCTCTCAGACAGGGACCTGTGGCCAACGGTAACCGCACTCCTGTGCCTCAGTGTTTCTCCTCCATCAAATGCAAACAGCCATTGTGCTATCTACCGCCCACGGCTGTGGTCAGCCTTATATGTGCCTGGCACATAGTAAGTGCCAAGTATTTAGCGTTATACATGAAAGTTGATGGTATTTTGAACGTTATGACAATCAAATCACATTTTAAAGATAGTACACACTCCAGCCTTTTCATTATTCATCAGGAATTGCGAAACTCTGTTCTGGACCCAGAAGGAGAAAAGGAGGTACACCTCACACTTAAACCCCAGACCTCCAAGGCCCCAAACTTTTTGTGTTTAGTTTTGGTGGGAAGGTGTTTGTTTCGGGTGTGCTGCTGCTGCTGCTGTTGTGATTGGACTGAGACTGAGAGGTGTGAGGGACATTGGAGAAGCACGCCGCTGAACCAGTGGCAGGAAAACGGTGCTGCCGTAAAGCTGGCACAGGCCATGTGATGACAGACGTGTTTTTGTTTGTTTTTGTTTTTTGTTTTTTTTGAGACGGAGTTTTGCTCTGTCACCAGGCTGGAGTTTAGTGGCGCAATCTCGGCTCACTGCAGCCTCCACCTCCTGGGTTCAAGCAGTTCTTCTGCCTCAGCCTCCTGAGTAGCTGGGACCTGAGGCGCACGCCACCACGCCCAGGTAATTTTTTTGTACTTTTAGTAGAGACGGGGTTTCACCGTGTTGGCCAGGATGGTCTCGATCTCTTGACCCCGTGATCTGCCCACCTCGGCCTCCCAGAGTGCTGGGATTACAGAACGAGCCACCGCCCCCGGCTGACAGACGTGTTCTTAGAAAGAGAGAAAAACCAAGGACCAATCCCAGAGGTAGAACCACACAGGTGCACACACACTTGCACAGGATGTTTGCAATATCTGCAAAATGTCATCAACCTAAACGTGTATCAGCAGGGAGAGGAGACCACAACAATATGGACAGCTATTATTCGGCAGCCAAGAGGGTGGCCTGGACCCGCTGCAGCAGCACAGATGGGATTCACAAACACGCAATGAGACAAGCAAGCTCAGGGCGGGGCACGGTGGCTCACACCTGTAATCCCAGCAACTTGGGAGGCCGAGGCAGGAAGATTGCTTGAGCCCAGGAGCTCAAGACCTCATCTCTACAAAAAATTTAAAAATTAGCTAAGCATGGTGGTGTATGCCTGTAGTCCCAGCGAGGCAGGAGGATGGCTTGAGCCCAGGAAGTCAAGGCTGCAGTGGGCCATGACCGCACCACTGCACCCCAGCCTGACAGCCTGACCAAAGCGAGATCCAGCCCCACCCCACAAAAAAAAGTGTACAGAATGTTAAGTGCTTTGTGATAATATGTATATAAATTTTAAAATATATACATATTTATGAATATATATTTATTTAAGTGTATAAAATACATTAGAAGAATTATCTGTAACTGACTGAATGTTTGTCCCCTGCCAAAATTCGTATGCTGGCACCTAATCCCCATTGTGATGGGATTCAGAGGTGAGGACACTGGGAGGCAATAAGGTCATGAGGGTGGAGACCCCGGAATGAGATGAGTGCCCGTCCGGGAGGAGGCGGGAGATGGCCTTCTTCCTCTCTCTCCTCTGTCACCCAAGGGTATCACCAGCAGGTGGCCATCCCAAGGTGGCCTCACCAAACGCTGGAGCTGCCGCTGTTTCAGGCTCAGTCTCAGACTTCCAGCCCCCAGAACTTCCAAGAAATCACTGTGTGTAAGCCACCACCCATCTGCAGTATTTTGTTTTAGCAGCCCCAACTGTCTAAAGCTTTCTCCAACCCTACAACAGTGTCAATGGTGGGAAGGGAGGGGGCGGATTGGCATTCAAGTTGGAGGCGAAAGGTGAACTTTACATTTATCTGTAATGTTATGTTTTTCAAAAAGGAAAAATATAGATAGATATATATATATGTATTTATATATATATATATATATAAATATATTTCTCGTGATTTTATGGTGTGACTATATATACATGTGTGTGTGTTTATATTGTGTATGCTCAAGAATAAAATATAAGAAACAATGCCCCACCCTCTCTCTCTGCCACTCTATTCCCAAGCCCACCTCTCTTCACAGATAATCACATCTCACTGTTTGATATGTGTGCCTTCAAACCCTGTCTTATGCACATAAAATATACATGGATGTCTCTTGTTGCCAGTGAATGCAGAGCTTGCCTTTTTTTTTTTTTTTTTTTGAGACGAGGGTCTCACTGTCACCCAGGCTGGAGCGCAGTGTCATGATGATGGCTCAGTGAAGCCTTGACCTCTTACGCTCAAGCAGTCCTCCCAGCTCAGCCTTCCTAGTAGCTGGGACTACAGTACACACAGCCATGGCTGGCTCACTGTTTTTATTTTTAGAAATGGGATCTTGCTTTGTTGCCCAGGCTGGTCCCAAATTCCTAGGCTCAAGTGATCCTCCTGCCTTGGCCTCCCAAGGTGCTGGGATGGCAGTTGTGAGCCACAGTGCCAGGCCTGACTCATTCTAGTAGCCACATAATAGTCCATGTCTGGAAGAGCTGTAATTTCTTTAGTTCCCTATCAATGAACGTTTAGGTTGGCTATCTCCTCTCCAAACAATATCAGAATGAATGTTTATTTCTACCTATATCTGCCCACTCGTGCAAACGATGTAAATCCGTGGGACAGCTAGGTCAAGGTGTGAGTGCCCTTAAGTATTTCAAAGATAGGACGTGTGGTAAAATGGTAAGAACTTTGGCCTTTAGAAACTGTGCGACCTACAACAAGTTAATTCACATTTCCCTTCCTCATTTGATTTTCGCCTTCTCCCTCTCAGGGCCAAACTTCGACTTGCTCTGGACACAGCCAGGTCCTGCCCAGATAGACAGCAGCCACCTCACCAGGGTGACGAGAGCCGCTGCCCACACTGGAGACCCGGGGGCCCCAGCCACAGTCATGCGTGCCGTACGTCGGCACGAACTCAACGTGCACCTGTGCTTGTCTCTCCACTCAGGAGAACCCGCATCTCCACACTGCGTGCGACACAGCAGTAGGACTCCAGCAGAGCCACCATTTCCCCTCTGTGTTCGTCAGCATTTTCTCTATTTGTTTAATAAGCTGTCCTGCACTTTTATAATTAGGCAGGTAAGACATATCCCAGAAAACTCAAGGCATAGATCAGTTTTCTCCCTAACACAGATTATGAAATTCACCTTGGCCAGAAGAGCAGTATTTGAGGACTTTGGTATTTTCCCCTTGAAACAATGCAGTTCTGGGCCAGGTGCGGTGGCTCACACCTGTAATCCTAGCACTTTGGGAGGCCAAGGCCGGCGGATCACCTGAGGTCAGGAGTTCAAGATCAGCCTGACCAACATGGAGAAACCCCGTCTCTACTAAAAATACAAAAAATTCACCGCATGTTCTGACTCACAGTCAGGTGTTGAACAATGAGAACACATGGACACAGGGAGGGGACCACTACACACTGGGGTCTGTCGGGGGGAAATTGGGGAGGGACGGTGGGGGGTGGGAAGCTGGGGAGAGATAGCAAGGGGAGAAATGCCAGATATAGGTGAAGGGGAGGAGAGCAGCAAATCACACTGCCATGTGTGTACCTATGCAACAATCTTGCATGTTCTTAACATGTACCCCAAAACCTAAAATGCAATTAAAAAGAAAAAATTTAAAAAATAAAAAATAAAATGTGTTATTAAAAAAAAAATTAGCTGGGCATGGTGGCACATGCCTATAATCCCAGCTACCTGGGAGGCTGAGGCAGGAGAATCGCTTGAGCCTAGGAGACAGAGGTTGTGGTGAGCTGAGATCACGCCATTGCACTCCAGCCTGGGCAACAAGAGTGAAATTCTGTCTCAAAAAAAAACACACAGTCCCAAATTCTGTGGTCAGATCCCTGTCTCTGCTGTATTTTGCTGTGAGTTCATGCTGATTTGCATGTCTTTTTAATGTTCTATACACTAATTTGTTGGTGCATATCACATGACTCTAATCTCAAATATACAGGTAGATTTTAATTAACATGGCTGCATAGATTTCTCTACATCAAACCTTACATTGCAGAATGCCAATTTACAATACCTTTATGAGGTTTTCTGCAGGAGCAAAAAAGTCATCTGTTGCAAATAAAATCTAGACAAAGAAAGAAAGAAATAAAGATAGGGTAACCATAAATCTGAAACCATTTTATTTTATTCTCTAGTGAAACATTATAAGATGAAGTAAAAAGAAAGCTTGAAGTCGCCTAGGAGAAGCGTCACGGCTGCAGTTAAGCCATGATGCCTTTAAATGTTTCCATGGCATTGCCTCCTCCGTCTTCTCTTCCCACCCTTTTTTCTGATTCCCCTTTACTGTCTGGAGGTGAGAGCACTAACTTCTTACACTCTGGAAGCAAATAAACCAACTTTCCTTTTTTCATGAACCAGAGGTTTTGTGGTACTTTTACAAGCAGAGCAATGGCCTAAAAAGCTCTGGATCACACAGGTGGTTGGTGGCTCTGTGTTCTCCACAAAGGCCACCATAGGCCACCCTGCAGGTGGGCTGTCCTGGTCATTCATCCACCAAAGCAGGGTCGTTTTGAGAGTGAGGTTGATGCTACTCATTGCACACCCAGAAAACAAGGTAAACCAGATTTTCCTGAGCAAAACAGGCTGTGGTCACCCCGACCAACCCAGGACTCAGTGCTGCTGCAGCCTGGAGGGCACCCTGCCCCAGGCTCTGTCTCCAGCCCAGGAATTCAAAAGGCAGGAAGAACGAGCTGCTTCGCAGCTGCCAGCTGTTTCGGTGGCAGAGTCAAGGGGAGACCTGATGCATGGGGTGACCTGTGCCAGGGTTCAAATGGCAGGTAGGGGGACATATCGGGGTCCACCCTGCTCCATGTTTCCCTGTGTGTCCTCAGCAGAAGCCTTCAGAGGGCACATGGGGCCACTCCCAACTCTCCGGACTCATGCTCCCAACTCTCCTCACAAATGCCCAATGTGTTCTTGAAACACTGAGCCCCCTGGAGTATGTGGGCTCCCTTGCTCCTTCTCACATGCACCTCTGCCTGAAGTGCCCTGCGCCCTGTCCCTGCCTGCCAGCTGCTCTCCGGCAAGCCACCCCCAGCAGCACATGTGTGGTCCTTCCCTATCCCTCCCACCCCAACTCCTACTGTGGGCCTGCCCACAGCTGAAGTCCACCTGCTCTCCCAACACCCTGGCCTTATGCTAGTCATGGCACTGGTCTGAACTTATATCTGTCTCCCTGCTAGAGTGTAAGCTTCCTGGGGAAAGGCACAGGGCCTTCCCTTTCTGTACCAGACAGAGTGTTTCTGAGTGCAGCCTGCACTCTAGCATCTATGTACAATATGTTTAATGAATTATCCAGGTGACCCTCATTACAATCTAGAGTCAGAGGACCGCCAGCCTAACAAGAGCTAGAGGACCTTCAATCTAACTAGAGTTAGAGAAACTCAGATCTAACAAGAGCTAGAGAAATTCCGACCTAACCAGAGCTAGAGGACCTCCGATCTAACTAGAGCTAGAGAAACTCAGATCTAACAAGAGCTAGAGAAACTCCGACCTAACCAGAGCTAGAGGACCTCCAATCTAACTAGAGCTAGAGAAACTCAGATCTAACTAGAGCTAGAGAAACTCTGATCTAACTAGAACTAGAGAAACTCAGATCTAACAAGAGCTAGAGAAACTCCAACCTAACTAGAGCTAGAGAACCTCCAATCTAACTAGAGCTAGAGGACCTCTGATCTAACTAGAGCTAGAGAAACTCCAATCTAACTAGAGCTGGAGGACCTCCGACCTAACTAGAACTAGAGAAACTCCAATCTAACTAGAGCTAGAGAAACTCCGATCTACATAGAGCTAGAGAAACTCAGATCTAACTAGAGCTAGAGGACCTCTGATCTAACTAGAGCTAGAGGACCTGTGATCTAAGAGCTAGAGGACTTCCGATCTAACTACGGCTAGAGGACCGCTGGCCTACCTAGAGCAGAGGACCACAGTTTGTCCCCCAAGAAAGACACAGAACCTAAGGCAGTGTTGTTCTTGCTGAGAATTATCACAGTTTAAGATAAATTCTTTGGAAGTCTTTCTTGCTAACCGGCTTCCTCAGACAGGCCATCCCTTAAGCCTGGTTCTTGCTGATTTTTGCATGAGGGCCTCTGCAGTGGTGAGTTGCACCCTTAGCATGGATGCATTATATGCTTATTCTAGCCATGAGAGACCCACTTACTTTTCCTCCTACAGATTCAGATGCCATGTCTATCAGCTGGGTGAAGTCCAGAAATCGGATCAATCTTCCCTCCTTTGGAGCATCGGCCATGTGTCCTGGAAGGGAAAGGGTAGCTCAGTCAGCCTCCAGGGCTTCAGGAGTGAGTGAGGCCTCATCCAGGCTCCTGATGCCAAGGTTTGAGACGTTCAAAAGGCAGGCAGTGACAGAACTGGATGTACTGTCAACTGGACCTGAAAGGTGCCCTCTGCTCGATGAGGTTGAACCTATAAGGGACTTTGCTTAAACACGCTGAAACAGGAAAGGAATTACAGCATGGCTTCCTTCTAAAGTATTTAAAACTAAAATATCACTAACTATACAAACCCAATCACCACAAAATGCAAAGTTTTCTTTTATTGTTTAAAAGGGAGAAACTATTTCCATTTAGAAAAGAATAACTTGCTTTTAATACTCTTTAAAAATTCAAAACACACATATTGAGATCCTGTGTGGTAGGTCCCAGCTAGGCATGGGGAACAGCGGAGCCTACCCGCCCACAAGAGCACCCCACATGGGAACAGAAGTCCACTGACAGGCAGGCTGGGCCACGCTCTGGAGCCAGCAGAGACTGAGTCACAGAGACATCTCCAGCCAGGGGGACTCGGGGCCATGCAGCCATGGCGGGTCCTAACACAGAACTTAGCCCAACTCCAGCACCCTCGTGTCGAGGTTGAGAAAGCAGAGACTTGGAGAACTGGGAAGAGACCCTGAGGGCAGCAGGGAGAGTGGGCACTGGCCCCAGGGCCTCCCTGCCCCTAAGCCAAGAGGTGGTCTTTGTTCCTAGCCTTTTTTCTACCCCTCTTGGTGAAAGAGAAAAACTACACAAAACATCTTACTAAGAACTATGTTCATTCACAAAGGAAGGAATACAAACAGCCCATGCACATGAGAAGTCAGCTCTTCCTTGAAATCACAGGAATATAATTAATGATAAAATACCATTTTGCCTATGAAACGGACACTTTTTTAAAGCAAACAGCTGCTTCCATAGTCCATTGTCAGGAAGCTGAATGGGAACAGCCCTTCCAGGGTGACTCAGTCACACCTGCAGATGGGAAGGCGCTCCCGCCATCCTGCTTCACTGGATCTTCCCCGAGTCCTGCTGCTGACGCCCCTGGGCTCACTGGAGTCTCCTTCTCATGTGCCCTCATCCCCTGGTAATGTCAACCAGACTTGTGGCTCCTAAGATCATCTGCACTTCAATTATCCCAAACGCATAGCGCCTTCCTGACATGAATTTCCATCTGCCAACTCAAAACCTTCCCTCTTGGATGTCGAATCGAATCTCAAAGCCGACAGTCCAGGCCTCAGCTCTGGCTCTTCCTCAGCCTGCCTCACCACAGCCTCCCACCTCAGGGAGAAGCAGCCCCATCCTCCCGGTTGCTGCAGCAAAAGCCTTGGTGGCATCTTCAGACCCCTTCCTCACACCCACAGTCTATGCAGCATCCTGTCCATCTGTCCATTGGACCCAGAACGTAGAATTATCTTTTTTTTTTTTTTTTTTTTTTTTTCAGATGGAGTCTCCCTCTGTCACCTAGGCTAGAGTGCAGTGGTGCAATCTTGGCTCACTGCAACCTCCACCTCCCCGGTTCAAGCAATTCTCCTGCCTCAGCCACCTGAGTAGCTGGAATTACATGTGCCCATTGCCACACCTGGCTAATTTTTATATATTTTGTAGAGATGGGGTTTCACCATGTTGGCCAGGCTGGTCTGGAACTCCTGACCTCAGGTGATCCACCCACCGTGGCATCCCAAGATTATAGGCATGAGCCACTGTGCCCAGCCAGAATTATGTTCTAAACAGTCTGAGAAGGAAGGAAGTGTATGAGGCCAAAGATGAAGTAAGACGGGCTGTGTGCTGGTGACCATTGTTACCACTGGACAGTGGGAACACTCAGGGACCATCTGATATTTTTACCCATCTGGGGTATGTTTGAAATCTTTCATATCAAAGTCATACACATGGCCGGGCACAGTGGCTCACGCCTGTAATCCCAACACTTTGGGAGGCTGAGGTGGGCAGATCACCTGAGGTCAAGAGTTCAAGACCAGCCTGACCAATATGGTGAAATCTCATCTCTACTAAAAAAATACAAAAATTAGCCAGGCGTGGTGGCAGGTGCTTGTAATCCCAGCTATTTGGGAGGCTGACGCAGGAAAATCGCTTGAACCCTGGAGGGTTGCAGTGAGCTGAGATTGCATCACTGCACTCCAGCCTGGACGACAGACCAAGACTCCGTCTCAGGAAAAAAAAAAAAAAAAAAAAAGTCATATACATTATGCACATTACATACTCACAGGGGTGGAGGGGGAGAGAGGGGAGAGACACTGGCACCATCTGTCTCCTGGGAAATACAATATCCCCAACACACATGCCCATGCCTGTCTATAGGCCACTCTTTGCCCAGCCCCAGGGCAAGCTTCCAAAAACAAAAGTCAGCTTGTTACCAGTCCTGCAAGGGTTCCCGGTTCAGTCAGAATGAAAGCTGCTCTCCTTACCTCCACCACAAGCACCTCCTCACCCAGGGCCCTTTCCCCTCTGTCCTGCCTCTGTGACTTTGCAAATGTGGTCCCCACTGCTGGGAATGCTCTTTCCCACACAGGGGTGTGCTTGCTCCTTGCCTCCCTCCAAGCTTCTGCCTGACAATCACCTCCTCAGCAACACTGCCCCGACCTCCTACTTATAGGTCGGCCTCCACCCCCAGGCATCCCAACACCCCTTACCCGGCCCGCCTTAGTTCCCAAATGATGGGAGCACACATGCCGCTGCTTGTCTACAGCATTTATCTGCCTTTCCTGATTAGATGCACACTGCATGGCAGCAGTAAGTCTTGTCTGGTTCACCGGCCTACCCCTAGTGAATCCCTTAACACTGACCGTGAGCCCACAGGAGTGTCACGCCCTGTTCATACAGTTTCTCTCATTTTAATCGTCAGAACAACCTGCAATTTTGGTATTATTCACATCCTACAAGTGAAAAGGAACACATCTTTGAGAGATCATGTAAATTGTTGAAGCCCGCAGCTGCAAGTAAACAATATGGCCAGCCACAATGTGTCCAAACGTGAGTGATACTGGGAAGCCTCTAGAAGAGCGCTGGAGCAGATGAGTGTCGCGGGAGTGTCGGCCAACAGCCTCCACCTGGTCCCATGCTCGTTCACTCCACACCGTGTGCGGAGCTCCTGGAGGCGCAGGCACCGTGCCCAGGGCTAGCCATGCTTTTTCCCTTCAGGTTTGTGGTGCAGTGGAGCAGACAGACAGGGTGGTGGCCATCCCTGGGAATGCGGTGGCAGAGGCACCCTCGAGGTGCAGCAGCGGACAGAAGACACTCAGTGAGCGCTGGGGCTCAGGAACCTCCCTTTAAGAGTAGACGCCACACCAGGCTGGACAGGGAAGGACGGACAGCCAGGCAGGGGAGACCTCGGATGCAGGCACAGAGGCCAGTGGCCCCGGGAAACACAGGGGCTGATGGCACCTTTGCCAGGACCCATACTGTCCAACCTGAAAGTCACTAGCCACACCTCGGTATTTTGCAAATTTAAACTTCAATTTCTTGAATGAAACTCAAAATCTAGTTCCTCCTTTGCTCTGGCCACATTTCGTGTGCTCCCAGGGCACCAGCAGCCTCCCTGCTGAGCAGCACAGGTGTAGGACAGGCCTGTCATCAGAGAACGTGACTGGACTGTGCTGGGAAAGCTCTGAAAAGATTACAGTGCAGAACCCACCCACCAGTCATCCCACCATGCAATGCAGAATTTACAACAGCGCTAATAAATATATATATATATAATAAAATAAAAATAAAAATAAAACAGCGCTAAACAGCCACACAGACACACAACCTACAGAGCAGCTAGAATTAAACTCACTTCTTCACAGAGCTCTTGGCGACACTGCAGCCACTCATCGAGGCTGGGTGACGCTAACTGAGTGGTGTCCTGTTTGCTGCACCCCTGGCTGAGCGCCGCGGGGAGGCTGCCGTGTGGGCGGGTTAGAGACTCAGCAGCCTGGCTGTGCCCCACGGGTCTCCTCGCCAAGTCCCCAGGCTCCCCCTGCACACCGCTCTTCCTCATCGTCCTCCGCTGCACACAGAATGATGCAGGGCCAGGCCAGTCATGGGCCCACAGCTGGGCTTGCCGACTACATGACAGAACACCCAATGGTTCTCTGGAAACAGCTGAACATTTTCCCCATCAGTTCCAGCAAGCTCACCATGCCCCGTGCAGAGCGCTCCAGCATTTTGCCTAAGTCAGTAATGTAACGTTCCCTCCCAACCACCCCCATGTGGTGGGGACATCAGGGGTCCTGGTAACGTGGGGCGTGACCCGCACCCCTCTGTATTGCTCAGCTTCCCTGCGAAGCAGAGGACACTGGAGGTGCAGGCTGGCCTTTTGTGTTTACATCTTTCACCTTTCCCTTTGGTGTGCCTCCGGCAACCTATACTGGGCATTCCATCTTACACGCATGTACCAGAGGCTGTAAATTCAACAGAGAAAGAGATCAAAAGAAAGAGAAAAGCATTTACTTACTTTCTCAAGGTACCAGCAGCCTCCATGCTTCATTCTGCGTAGCCTCACCCCACTGAAGCTCACACTCAACTTAGACAATAAAACTCTTCAATTTGACCCAGCAATCCCATTACTGGGTATACGCCAAAAGGAATATACATCGTTCTACTACAAAGACACATGCACACATTCATTGCAGCACCATTCACAACAGCAAAGACATGGAATCAACCCAAATGTCCATCAATGATACACTGGATAAAGGTAATGTGGTACATATACACTATGGAATACTATGCAGCCATAAAAAGGAATGAGCTCTTTGTCCTCTGCAGGAACATGGGTGGATCGGAAAGCCACTATCCTCAGCAAACTAACACAGAAACAGAAAACCAAACACCACATGTTCTCACTTATAAGTGGGAGCTGAACAATGAGAACACATGGACACAGGGAGGGGAACATCACACACTCGGGCCTGTCAGGGGGGTGGGGGAAGGAAGAACATCAGGACAAGTAGCTAATGAATTGGGAATTGATACCC